TTTTTTTTTTTTTTTTTTTTTTTTTTTTTTTTTTTTTTTTTGTTATGGGCATAAGGAAAATCTTCATTAAATTTACATTGTGGACAGCATATGTAACAGAGCTTCAAATTTACACTCAAGAACAGGGAATTTATTTTTCCAGAGTAGATTAAATTCCACTTATTTCTTGTCTGAAAGCCTTTTCCTGCTACAAAAGATGCTAGGCAGTATGTTCTGCAGTACTCCTGTATTCACTATGGTTGCAGATGATAACAAGAATCTCAAGGGTTAAGACTTGCTTCAGACTTTTGGTCTTGCTCTTTGTGCTCTGGTACTACTAACAGTTGTGCAATTTAGCACCTAGAAGTTAAGTGCGGCAATTTATAAACAAAGATTCATAACCTTCTGTGTTGAAGCGGATCAGTTAACACAATCCATCCAGCCTGCTAAATCAGATTTGAATTTCTGTTCCCTGTGACTACATCCTGAATGGTTGATTTTAAGAAAAGTAGCTATTTCATCAACTCCACACAAAAGCCTGTAATGGAGAACTTAGTTTTGTCCATGCATATCCCGTATCTTGAGTGTGACACAGCAGCATCAGCCTCACTAGCTATTTAAAATGCTGATTAACCATAGGAGTGTGTGTGTAGGAATGGGGACAGAACACCTTCCTGGTTTTCAGGAATGTTTTAGTTTTTGTTGCAGCTGGCACATAATGCACTATTAGAGTAGTAAACCACTTTTCATTCACCTGAACAAAGCACTGTCTTTTTCCTCAAAAGACCTCATAGTGGTTGAGTTCAGCTAGAACAATGAAGCAACTGTATGAATGTAAAAGGTCTTCATGGTGTTAAAAGGGAGATGAACTTCATGCACTTTTATAAGTCTGAATACTTGTGGGCCTTACACCTCCCTTTCATATAGTTATATTGGAAATAATTTTGTTCTTTTAATTAAAAAAAAATAAATCTGAGAGTTTGGGGTATTATAAACAGACTTAATCCTATTTTATTTACTGATGTTCTGGGGTAGTTAAAGTACCATAACCAGTTTGAAGTTGTGTACTGTTACGCCTTTATCCAGTTCCAATAAGGAAAAAATGAGACCAAACACTTGTGTGATAATTTTACATTGGTGTAACTTGATCATGTAACACTATCTCAAAACTGGCATGTTCCTATTGAAAAAGAAAAGTCTGACTTAAGTAAATTTTTACTAATAGGATTGCTGAATCTTTGAGATTTTCAACCTTATATATGTCAATTTTTTAAACTATATACTTGACATTACTATAGGTTTTGCACTTTGTTCTTTCTTTCTTTTTAAATGTAAATAGATATCTCAGTCCAGAATTTGTGCACATTCTGGAGAAACTTAGTTCTGGCTGAATAAAATCTGAAGTGCAAATATTTGCGTCTAATTTCTTCTACCTGTCCTTGGCATAAAGATCCTTCTGCATTGCTTGTTTACTCCACATCCAAAGCAATTGCCACTTCAGCATTTTCAAGGACAAAGACTGATGGAGCAATTTATGATGAATATGAAAAGGTTACTCGCTTACGAACACAATTTCTGAAAAACTCCGTGTTCACAGGTAGTCACTCCTCCTGTCTCTGTTAGATTTCATAATCTAGTGGTAAACATTCTCAGCTAGAGCCTCTGCTCTGGGTTTGGACAACTGTTGTCCATTTCGTGAGCAGGTCACCACCCTGACTGATGCAAAGCAATTTTAAGTAAGACATTTTGTTTCAGTATGAAGTTTCATGATGCATGGTGGTACCTTAGATAATTCTATTAATACATGCTGCTCTTAAAACCTAATAATTTTTGTGGGTGCTGAGAGTTCCCTGCTCTAACAGCAGATGAGGACATTAAGCACCTTCAGAAATTATTCAGTATCTTGTAGGATCAGACGCCAACAATTCACTAGTTTTAAGAAACATCATGAGATAAAAAAAAAGTGAAGCTGCTGAGAATTCCAGTAACAGGCAGTAGACAATCTGGTTCTATTAATAATGTTGTATACACAATCCTGTTTCCTCCTCCATACATCCCCAGCAATTTGTTCATTGTGACTGTTACCAAAGCAGTTACAATTCCTCAACAGTGCAAGAAAACATTATTACATGAAGGCTGATCCTTCGGCTTTACTTAGGAGAATGGACAGAATAAGGAATTTAAGTATAGCTCATTTCTCACTTTGATTTGCTCACCAAAATAACTAGCACAATAGAGACGGATCTGTATGTTACCATAGCTGCTTCTCCAGAAAATCATTCATATCAGAATGATATTCATATTACTGATATGCAGAGGTATTTTTTTTTCCCAAATGCTGTCGTAGCTGTCATAATGTGTCACAATTTGCAGTTAGTAACACTTCCGTTATATCACTGGCATGTTTAACTTCATGGTTTACTTCAGTTCATCTGATACCGCTCTTGACTAAAGCATCAGCAAGTGTGAACCTGTTCCAGAGTTCACAATATTTTGGTATAGCATACAGCAAAACATAATTTCTGCCCACAACAAAGCAACTTCTGAGTAAGTTATAGCATTTAAGCAATTGATGTAAGAAGAGAAATTAGCACCTGAGGTATCCTTTGTAGAACAACATTTTTTCTCTTAAACTATGCCTTTCTGGGAGGAAAAAAAAAAAAAAAAAAAGCAGTTAAGTACTTAACAGTATCCCTATTATTTCTGCTTCTGATTACATTGTCACTCAAAACACGTGAATACTTTCCCTGTTCTTCCATTTTAAGAATGGATCAATGCCTTTTGAAAATCGAATTGTATGTACATTTGCTCTTTTTATTTCTGTTCTCCTCGGACTCCTTTCGAAATTTCAGGCACTCTCCACACAGTTTATCACACGGTCCTCTTAGTATGCTAATGTATTGCAACAACCCATTTTACATTGCTAATGAAGTGAAAGAAAGATGATGGAAAATAAGCAAAAAAAGAGTTGATGGTTGTTCCATGCCCACGGCAGGGTAAGAAAAGAAATTAAAGAAGGTGCATTTATCGCTTCACTCTCAGCCAGTTACCAGTGCGCAGGGAACCAACACAGGGACACGCTCCGCCGCGTTTCAGCGAAGAGCTGCGGTATTAATTCCTGAGGCGGTGGCGGCCTTCCGTTGGGTCTTCCAGCGACGAGCGAGCGCGTTTGGCACCCGGGCGCCGCCCCGCCTCGCTGACGGGCCTCCT